TATATAATTTTTAGAAGGGTCTACAGGGTGCTCATTATCTCACTACTAGATTGGACTCATAGTGATCCACCTGTTTACAACCTACTAAGAGCTGGGATTACAGGTATGAGCCACCACACCCAGTCTCAATTGCCATCTCAGTGTGCCCTGGGGGTGGGGCCAGCACGGCAGGCCCAGGGATCGAAACTCCAGCCCCTGTGCCTGCTTGCAGGCACTTTAATCCGCTGAGCTATTTGGCTGGCCCTTTACTAGTCATTTGAAGTAGTGGAGAAATGAACTCCAGTAAGCTGCTCAGCAGTTTCCCTCACTTAGCACTAAAGATGGGCATTGTTAGAACAACATGTAATGTTATTTTTATATGTTGTCATCTTTCCTGTATCTGTTCTAAGCTCATACTCTTAAAATGTATAAGGTTAAAGCACAATGAGCTGCTTCCTTGGCTTGGCCCAGTCTTGACTATTCACGCCTAATCAGGCTCCATTTGGCGGTTGTCATTAGTTCCGACTTTGCCGGCAACTCAAGAGTTGTACAATACACTGAGGTGTGGGTTGTCCTCAAACTTTAATCTTACACAACAGAAGTTTTGCCAAGTATGTGGCACTGATGGCGATAGTTCTATAATACTTGGGACAATGCACATTTTATAGGTGGCATTATGAAGGATAATTGGGGGTGCAGAGGAAACGCACCCTTGTCCAGTGATGGTGACAATCGATTGGGTCACATGCTCCAGGGCGCTCAAGTGCAGTCTGCCTGCAAAGAAGCACTTGGGTTGCCACCGATCTACAGGTCGTGGTGGACCTGTGACTCTCAGCTGCAGCGGTAGCACCCGCAGTTATGCCCATTAGGTGGACATGAAAAGCCTATTCTCAAAGGCTATTTTTCTTAGAAGTTCGTGGCTCCATCTTTGCAACAGAAATGAGCTGAGTGGCAAAGATAACCAATCTTTATCTTTGTAAAAATGCTGTAAGTTAAACTCTGCAGATGGCATGGTTTTCCCAGGACACTGAATACTTTGACTGATAATATCTGTTGGCAGAAAGATGGAAAATGGTCCTTATTAGGCAACTAAGATCTACTTTTCCTACACCTCTGGGAACAGAAAAGGAAGAATGTGCTTTGTTTTTGCTTCTTATGGCATATGTTGCCCAGATTTCAGGAGGATCTTTTAGAAAACGTATGGGAATTTGAGGGACTATGGATCAAACTCTTCATAAGGGAGTCAGAAAAATGGTATTGTGGGTATAGACATGAGGTGGGCAGTGAGAACACAATGCTGTGAATGGTATGCTGTAACAAGGAGAAAGTCATGTGAATCCTCAGATACTCAGTTTTCCGCATCTATAACATGGGCACAGCAGTAATGCCTGACACAGTGTGGTCATCATTTTTTGGGTAGCAAGCATGCTTTCATTTCAGAAAAAAAGGGCTAATCCTGGGTTGATTTTAATACTAGGAGCACAGACAAATATTCCAATAAAGGTTCCATGAAATTCCTTTTGCAGTGACCTAGACTGATGTCCCTTTGTGTCGAGGGTCATAGAATATCTGGCTGACCACTGATCAGAGATGTTTAATTTCTCTGAACCTCTTCTATAACATGGGGACCATCATAGATACTTGGGAGAATTTTGTGATAAACATTCCAGATAATTCAGATAAACTGTGCAGTACATAGTTAGAACTCAGTGGGTAAAAACAGGGACTGACATTTGTTAAGGGATCATGATGTCCGTGGTACTGTGCTACATATGTCCTATCCCCATGGACGCTTGAGGAACTCCATGAGGGAAGTTCGCTATACTAACCATTTTACCAACAAAGAAATGGAGGTGGCCAGTGAGTTGTAAAGCCAGGTCTTGAATACAAGCAGCTGCACACTCTTACCCACTCAGCTAAACTGCTTCTCCAAATGAGAGATGATGGGCATGGAATGTCCCTGCTGTGCGCGGTGCTGTCATGCGTGCCTGGGGGAGCCTGGCATGTGGGCAGAGCTGGGCTGCTAGGGCCTGTCTGGGGCCCGTTCCCGCTTGCACCCTCTGCATGTTTGTCTCTCGTCCCTCCTTCCTGTGCAGAGCCAAGAACACTTAGCTGTATTCTTCTGCTCTTCTTGGTGTAGAGCATGAGGGTGGGACACTAGCAACACTTGAGAGAATTAGAAAGTAAAAGATGGGGTGAGATTTTCATCAAAGCTACAGGAAAGAAGTAAAATCACAATGGGACTCCTATCCAATCTTGAGAATGTAGGGACCAGACCAGATGGACTAGGCTGTTCAGGGACCTTCTTTCATTCATGGATCCACGTTTCAATTTGGAAGCTTCTGGAAGTTTTGGTAAAATGGCAGCTGATAAGAATTACTTCGTATGGATTTGCCAACTTGGTTTTCAGTAAAAAATAAATTAACTTGACTGGAGTTTGGTGGGTTAATTACTTTCCCAAAAGTAAAAAGTTACTTCATGGTTAGCACAGGATTGAAGATCAGCTTTTATTTCTTAATAGCAAATTAATCATTTCTCTTTGAAAGGCACAGAGAATTGGGAGAGAAAGAAAGGAAAAGTGAAGGTAAAAGATCTCATTATTCATAACTGTATTTTTTTTGAGAAGAAGAGCACAATATATTGGAGAAGAAATGCATGTAAAACATATGAATTAAGAATTCCACAAACTATCATGTATAATTCACCATGCTATATTGTGGGTTTTGCTTTATTATGCTTTTATTCTGGCTGTCAGTGTGAATCAATATTGTATTTTAAAAATTATTTTCATGGAGAGGACATACTTGATGTATAATCATAGTTTAGCTTGTTCCCTAAACTAATTTCCTTTTCTCCTGAATTACTCTATGTCAAAGGCATTGAATTACTCTGCATGATGCTTTATACTTTGCTTCAGCGTCCAGTTAAATTAGTGCAGAATCAGTATCCTTGTTGCTAGAAAGCACGAAATAATTTTGACATGCTGTGTTTCTAGCTGACCTTTAATTCTTTTCTAACAGCAGACGTTAACGGACAGTTTGTCAAATATCTTTTCTTTTAAAACATGTTTTGGAATTCTCATGCACATCTAGCAAAAGAAAGTCTCTATCATTCCTCAAAAAACCCCTTCTGCACATTCTTTTAGGGAGCTGGAATGATCATGCAGCCCTGGCTAAGTCTGAGAAGGGCTGTTTTCCTCCTTGTCTTTCTGCATCATCAGCCATGTGTGATATGTAACAGGAAAGTGTTCTTTCAAAGGCTAATAATTAAAGGACAACTTATTCAAAACAAAAATGAGGACATCTGCATTTTGAACAAAGCATAAAGGGCAAAGCAAGCACAAATGTTGAAAAATAATACACACCAAAAACCTGTAAATACTGCCTTTAAATTATAAATCATTGCATTGAAGCAGGTTTCAATTCTTTTTCAGCAGAAGTCTGCTATCAACCTTAGACCCCTAATACCTTCAAATCTCCTTCCTAGGAGCTCCCCAATGGCCCAGAATCAAGACCTTTTCCAGGTAGCGGAGGGTTATAAGGAGGTATAAAGAGGATGCATTAAATCCTGCTTGAAAAAGCCTTGGAAAGTGATACTATAATCCACTTTTAAGCAGAGCAACTTAACTAAAGGAAAATCTCCAGACCCATTAATCACAAATTACAAAAAAACCCAAACAACAACAACAACAAAAAAAAAAAACCAGTATATGTACTTAGAGAAACAAATTACAAGGAAGAATTCACCACACCACACTTCTCACTGTCACATTTTCACGTTTGAAGCAGATATCCTCTGTCCTTTAGAGCAGAACATCAAGACTCACAGGGGCTTAATGCTTATAGTCATCTTTGTCTTTCACTTTCTCTCAACAGCCCTCTGGGCATTCTTTTGGTTTTCCTCTAGATACCCAGATCCAACATCAAGAAGTCAAACAAGAGAAAAGTTAGCTGAAATCACTTTACCTGTGCACTGACTCCGGCTGGTAGCAAAGGCAGTCCCCAGAGTGGCTCCTGTTGCTTTCATTTTGCTGTGGCCGGGGCTGGTCATCCTGTTAATAATGGTTTTATGACCGCCCACTGGAAAAAAAAAATCACTTGCCTGGCTCTTCCCCCAAGAGACGGTTCAAGTAAGCATTGAACTTGGGCAGATTAGCCCTTGGAATGTGCTGCTGCTTCGGGATTAGCCTCACTAAGAATCCCATGGACATCCCCCTCCGTCCTCAAACACTGCTTGATTTGAACATCTAATCTGACGCCAGAAGAAAAACAAATCCCCGGAGAGATCAGATTTAACTGGCACAAGTCCGAACAGGCTGCCCCCCTTCTTTTTCCATTTCCAGAGAGAAAGCTTGTGAAAGTGTGATAAGGTGTTCCGAGTTCTGAAAGTTCAACTTTGGAAAGCAAATCCTTCTAAAGAAACAGTGCATGAATACTCCAAGTGGTTTGAACACACAAGCCGTATTGTTCCCCTCGCCACAAAGAATGGAATGATAGCATTTCTTTAAAGAGGAACTGCAAAATACTCAGTGTTTCAAAAGAATATTTGCTCCCTGAACATGAGTCCCAGTAGAATGAAACTGGAGTTTGCTGCGGACCTTCCCAACTTCTAAAATCTCCATAATAAAACTTGTCCAATCACACTGCTCACCCTGCACCTTGCCTTTCTATTTCTAGGGTTGATCTTCAAATTCACACATTTTTTTTGGTCTCTCACTGAGGATTCTGCACAGACAAGGGACAATGATCTACCTAGTGACTTTCAACTGAAGTGGTATTATGTGAGCAAGCTCCAAGTGGAAACATTGACTGAGTGTCAGCATTAAATGCCCAGGACAGAAAACCCCTTTCCCTGTCATTTGGAGTTGGCTTCAGTTTTAATAACATACAGCTCTTGCCTCTGCGCACCCAGAGCACTACTAATTATTCATTCTGAAGCCACCATCAGAGACAGGAGCATGCAAAGAAGTTCACCGCACCATTGTTTATAATATAGAAATGGTCCAAAACAATTAAATCCATCACCAAGAGCCTAAGTATGTAAATGATGGTCCAGTGATAGCAAACCATCTAGAGACCGAGTGCCCATGCTGCAACCCAAATCCCACTTATCTATTACGAAGTGCCAACACTGCATTTAAACCTGAATAGCCAAAGCTCTGCTGCTGGGGCATTTGGCTCACAAGTCAACAGAGAGGGCTCTGGCTGCCTGCTGGGGCATGTGTGTCGTCCTTTCACTACCACTGTCTAGACCATTCAGCAATCACATGCAGGTTTTAAAAGACTACTTGGGTGCATAGGGAAATATACTGCATGCATTTTTTAACCATTTATTTATTTATTTATTTATTTGGTACAGGGTCTCACTATGCAGCTCAAACTCATAATGATCTTTCTGTCTCAGTCTCCCCAGCAATGGGATTACAGGCATGCACCACCACACCCAGTTCCGGAGCCACCATGACGTGGTACTGGGGATCGAACTCGGGTCATTGTGCTTGCTAGGCAGGTGCTGAGATGACTGAGCTATCTCCCCAGCCCCCACTGTATACATTTTTATGTTTTGTGAAAAGAAGTAGGCCACAAAAAAGTAAGTATAAAAAGTTACAAATTTTAAATAGATACAGAGATTATAGGTATGAAGCAGTCTAAAGTGACAGCTGTGCTTTTATGTTATTCCTTTTGCTTTGGCATATTTTGCTAAGATTTTTTTACAGTTGAATGTGTATACTCAAAAATTATATCTTGTCTATAAAGAAAAATTTTAACAACCAGCCCATGTTAATAGGCTATTGGGAACTAGTAGCTCAGGAAGTGACTTAGGAGCGAGAATTCAGTGAAGAGAAGTTTCTTAGGAAGGCAATTTTTTTTTTTTGGTAGGACAGTTTCAATAATTAACACATTGCATACATTCTTCCTAGTGGTTAATTGCTGTACAAGATGCGGACTTGATATCCTATTTGCAAACACCATTAGAACAAATTTCTCTACTCATTAAGAGAATGTAACTGTATATCTATCCTAACCACTTTGAATACACATATACAAAATGGACATTCATCTGTATCCCCTTTTTTTGTTAAGTTCCATCATTTAAATATTATAGGTGTGTTAACTCAGCAAAATATTCTAAAAGAGTTCAGTAGCCCATAATAGTATTAGGTCTTCTGCTTCACTGGCAATGTCAGAAATTGTTGACCTGAGTCCCCTACTGCTCAACATAACACCATGGCTTTACTTCTTATACTTCGTTTTTATACTTTTCTGCTGGATGATTAAGACCAAGGTAAAGCAGGACCTATGCTGGACTGCTTCAAGGGTGTATATGGTGAGATTTTTGGACTTATGTGTAAACATAAGGAGTATATAATTCTTTATGCCTATTTTAAAAATATATTCTAATTTTTAAATTTTTTTTTATCATATTCTGTAGGGACTTAAAGTTCAACATACCAATACTTGATGAAAAATACCTGTTCCATGTTATGCCTAAGATGTTTGATATGCAGACAGATAGTGAGGTTAAGCTTAACAGCCTAAGTTGTATGGTAATAACAATAAGCCTCTCTTCTGTATGGTTAACAACCTAAGTTTGCAGACCAAAATTATAGTAAAAGGAGGGCCGCAAGGAAAGTCTACATTTTGGCCCTAGTCTTCCAAGGTCACTTAAGACTCAGGGCATATGAGAACTTGTACTGTAACATCATGTAACTCGATAGTGTCCCAAATTTCCTGATCAAGGAGATTATGGGGCCAAAGAGGAAAGTGATCGATGATGTAGAGTGTGCCTAAGGAGAGTCACATGGAGAGAAAACATTCTCTCAGGCTTTCACAGAGAGCACATTGGCCAAGCAATGGCCGTGACTTATGCACATGGCTGACACTGACAAAGGTTCTACAATCTGAGGTACGGGGTCTCAGGATAAATCCTGAGGGGATTTCACTGACCTTATCAGACCCAAAAGGAAGGCAATTTAGAAAGGAGAGTTTTATAAAGTGCAGAGTTTCTGGAGGGAGAGAAGGAGGGAGGAAGAAAAAGGAGGAGAGGGATGAAAGAAGAGATGGGGAGGCGAAAAGAACACAGGGTAGAAAGGAGACTGCTGGCCGGGTTGGTGGCTGGAGAGTGTATGCGAGACTTGATGAACTGGTTTTGGAGTATCTTCCCAATGCAAGAAGCAATTCAGCAATTCAGCTTTTCCAATTTATTTCTTCACTAGATACTGCTTCTATCTTCATCCTATTACTTTAAATCTTACATAGCTACTTAGCTTTTCAAATACTGCCTATGGATTTTTATTATATGTGATTCAGTCTAGTCTTAAGTGTTTTTTGCTTGATTTTTCTTATTTTCATTTCTAAAGAGAAATACAATTCAACAGAGAATATTATATGAGGCACCTGCTGTGGACTTTACACCAAAGACAAAAACATTGCTATCAGAACCCTAGGCATTTGGTATAAATGAAAAAGGCAGCCCCAGGTGAGACAGAACAGCAATATTTTCATATGAAGCAGTAGATGATCTTTGAGACCCTTTGATTTAAAATGTAATTAGATCCAAAGAAACTTGTAGCTCTGGGCCATATGGTTCATAGGGATCTTTAAAAAAAAATCTATATTTTCTAATAATGCACTTTCCAAAAGGATATGTTACCAATCTGCTTGAGAGGTAGGTCAAGAGAACAAATATAATTTGAATACTAACAAGAAAAAACCACAAGCGTAACACTAACTGCGGTTCTCTTTCACTTCTACCTTCATGCAGTGGTAGAACACTTGTTCTTCCAATTCTTCAATGAAGAAACATTACAGTGGTAGAGAATATGCTAGAATGTTTTTGTTGGCACAAAACACATTTTTAAAAATGTTTAAATCAGATTTTCTATGAGGAGAAACTAGATTTTGATGTGGAAAATACATTATTTCATTATTACAAGGGACGATAATTGTGATGTCCTTATTTGATAAGAACAACAGAAAGACCATGACATGGAACACTGAAATTCCATCTTACTCCAGAAAGAGTATTGTCACTGAGAACCTAAAAACAACACATGCTGTAGAGAAAAGAGAAGTCTGCTGCACTGCTGGTGAGAATGTAAACCAGTACAACCACTGTGGCACTCAGCATGGATATTTCCTATTTTATTTTGTATTTTTAGGGAAGGGTCTACAGGGTGTTCAGGGTCTCACTACTAGATCAGACAGTAGTGATCCACCAGTATTCAGCCTCCCAAGAGCTGGGATTACAGAAGCGCCACCACGCCCCATCTCAATTGCTGTCTCAGCACGCCCTGGGGTCAGAGCCAGCATGGCAGGCTCAGGGATCGAACCCCCAGCCCCTATGCCTGCTTGCAGGTGCTTTAATCTGCTGAGCTATTTGGCTGGCCCTGACATGGATATTTCTAAGAAAGAAAAACAACAACAACAACAACAACAACAACACAAAACAAAACAATAGAAATTCCATTTGATCCACTTATACCTCTTCTGAGTACCTTCCAGAAAGAATTAATGACATCATATTACAGTGATCCCTGCATACCATGTGGAAAGCAACACAAGTGATAACAGCTAAATTTTGTACCAAGTTACCACAATGATTGTAATTCTTCTGTATTATAAATATTGATATAAATATGTGTATCACATATGTACTCTCTATATATAATAAGAGAACATATATGTGATACAGAGCAATGATGTAGAGTAGAACTCAGCAAATTCCTTCTGCAAAGGGCCAGGTGGTACTTACTTTGGGCTCTTTGGCATCATAGGTTAAATGTGTTGATACGCAACTCTATCATTGTGGTATGAAAGTGACTACAGACAACAGGTTCACAACTAAGCCTGACTATGTTCCTGTAAAGCAGGAGTGGGCTGCAGCTGGTGTGTGCTGGTCAGCTCTTGATGTAAAAGAAAAAATCTATATGTTGGGCAATGTGGGGGGCAGTGGTTCCATAATCCAGGATTTTGTGGTACCACCACTAACTAGTCCCAAGCTTCTTCCAGATTGTCAGGCAGGTTCTCCACAGGGGCCTCTGCTCCTCCAATTCCTTCTACCAAGACAGAACCTCCCCAAGTTGGCCTGTCACTCAGCAGTCCTCAGTGAGCATCCCATCTAGACATAACTGTTATTCTCTGTCTGTTTAGTCCCTGTTTTCCTCATAGCCTTTCCTGTCTCCTGGCATTAGATCATAC